TAATTGACTCAATGTATTGATATGCGACAGGAAATTGGTTGATAATCAAAGAAATATAAGACTTTCTCATGAATAGCATTCACTTAATGGTAATCCCGGATGAGTTCCGCTAAAACACTAATACAATAATAACAAAAATCAGAATCAAATTACTTGTAATTGAATAATAGCTTTATTAGCTGTAAAACACTTTGTAATGAAAATGTTATTTAATTTATTTAATATATTTATTTTGCTTTAAAAAATGTTACATTTTTGTTGTTAGTAAAAATAATTTTTCAATAAAATTCTTTAAAATAATTAGTTTTGACATAATTTGCATATAATTAGTATAATACTGTTAGTACTTTAAGTAAAGTAATTAATTAGTATTAATTATAATATTCATATAAAACACACTTATATTGTGGTAAAACATATTCAATAAAGTAACCCAGAATAATTAATCATTTATCTCAATTAGCGTAGCTATAAGTTTAAATAGCTTTATACTGGCGTCGGGCAGTCAGGATTACCAGGATTAAAACAATCCAGTTAAACACGGTGATATCAACAACAGTCTTGATTGTATACAATTGCATGCATTGATTACCAGGGGATTTCTTGAACCCAATGTATTTGCCAATGAATGCCGTATTCATGATTAGTGTTAATATCTCGAACACAGATAACCCTGATAAATTATATAATTATTAACATTTATCTGCTATTACTTATAAGATATACTGTATTAAGTAATTATTAATTTTAAATGCTAGCACTAAAGTTAACATTAAATTATAAAACTATAAACATGAATAAACTCATAAGTAGTTATAAAAATAATAGTTTATAAAAAATAGTTTCAATATAACAAAACAAATTAAACCCTATTTTAATCGTAATGTTTGAGTGAATTAAGGTTAGCCATATGTAAACTAATATTACTTATAAATACAAAAATCCAAATATAATACCGATTTTAACTTTCACGACAAATTCAAGCAATGAATTCATTTGAATCCGACTCATAGTATAGCCGATAATCAGTGCCTCGAAAACTATACCCACAATCCATACCAATATGTAGGACTCCATGAGACACATACCGATCCAACCGCAATAGGCCAATAGTGGGACCTCCTTAGAGGGGGTGGGAGTGCTGGTCGCACTACTGCTGTAAAAGGTGTTCCCGTCGGTGTAACTGAAGCTCATGTTCACCGATACGATGGGTAACCTGTCGGGACTGGTCGTCCAGCACCAGGAGCTGTTGTACCAAAAGGCCGGCGTGACTGTCCTGTTGACATAGAGGGCGGTGCCGTTGGGGTACTTCACGAGCTCCGAGTGATACGTACGACCACTGTATGGACTGTTGTCCCATAGGCTCACCCACGACGTGCTGCTAACACTTTGTGGGTTAGGGTCGGGCGCCGGTAGTGGAGTCATGTTATCGGTAATCAAACATAGCATTAGCGTGACTACCCTATTGATACAATTACGGGGTTTATGTGTCAATTACATTAAAAATAGTTACATATAGTGTTTAATTATACCATATTAGGTGAAGGCACAGTTGCACGACAGTGGGCCCCAGTAGGCCAGGCTTTTTGACAGCCACTTGATCAATAGGTAGATCAATAGCACCAGTATCCTTAGGTAATTGTTTGGCATTTTTAATGTCTGTTAGTTTGATAGTCCAGACCATGGTTTAAGATTTAACCTAATTTTATAATTAGTTATTATTAATATAGTAATAGTAAGTCAATTATGAAACAGTTAACTAAACTTAATGATAGCTAAACGAGAAATGAATTGTCAGTTTAAATATGCGATTAATGTAAATGTTAAGCAAACTAAGCGATTGTTTTTATTATATGAATCAATGTTTTTGAATCTCGTTTTCAATATTGGATACAGAATTTTGTAAATCAACTTAAATTACAAAAATATTTGCGAATAATTGTTGCCAACTGTCTGTTAAAGCCATAACTAATTTATAGTTGATATGAGATTCTCATTAAACAATAATTCATTTACTGTGATAAATGAATATAACATTTAAAGTATGTAATCAAAACATTTATAAATGTCTAATGAATTAATGTTTTCATGAATCCATTGTTTTCGCTGCAGATCTCGTTTCAAAACCAATTCACTATTAGTAACTAATTTGCAAAAAAATAATAATTTTAATGTTACTGCAAATTAAATTACAATATTTAAAAATTACATTCACACGTTAATATCAAAATTAAACTCAAGCTTACAATTATAAAATACTCAATAAGACTAATGCTATTACAACACAATATAAGACTTTAAAAGTGCACAAAAAATACCTAAACTTTTACTCCCAGAGTGCTTATACTTTACTATATTAATAGAAATGCATACAAAAGGTGCCATAAAATAGTTATACTTTACACGGACTATCATCACAATCTCATAGCAAGACACGTGTAGTTCCCTATCAGTCCTGTATCTCAAAGACCAACAAAATGGTGAAAGAGAGCGGACTGTACGACTTGTTGGGCGTCCGACCCGACTGTAGCGAACCGGAGCTCAGGAAAGCCTACAAAACGCTGGCCCTGCGCTACCACCCGGACCGCAACCCCGACCCCTCCGAGTCGGACCAATTCAAGCACATGAGCCGCGCCTACGAAGTGCTGTCCAATCCGGACAAACGGCAGGCATATGACACGGGCGGCGAGGAGGCCCTCAATGGCGCCGGCGGTCAGCCCACGGATCCCATGGATCTGTTTCGACACATGTTTGGCACCACCGCTGAGACCACGGATCGGATCATTCAGCTGAAGGTGACGCTGGAGGAGCTGTACAACCGCTCCGTACGTCGCCTGCGCTACAAACGCAACGCCCGGTGCCTCGCGTGCGACGGAAAGGGATGCCGAGACGGACGGGCGGATCAACCGTGCCGTAAGTGCGCCGGCAGTGGCATCCAGCAGCTGATCCCCGGTATGTTCCGCGAGTGTATGGACTGCAAGGGTGAGGGCCGCCGGTTGGCACCGGGCGACGAGTGCCAGGCCTGCGCCGGGCGCCAGATATTTAGCGAACGGCGCGTTATCGACGTACACGTCGATAGAGGTATGGCCGACGAGCAAAAGATAACGGTGCGAGAGGCGGGCGATTGGGACACGAGCACCGGGAGGTACGCCGATCTGGTGGTGGCGCTGGACCAACAGCAGCACCCGGTGTTCAGGAGGTGTAGGCGCGACGATCTCGGCGTTACTCTGGAGCTGACCCTTACGGAGGCGTTGTGTGGGTTCCGGAAAGCCATCAAAACGCTGGACAATAGGACACTGGTGTTGGACTCGAGTAGGTTGGCCGGGCAGGTGATTAAGCACGGGTCGATCAAGTGTGTGCCCGGCGAGGGTATGCCTCGGTTTAAGGACCCATTCGAAAAGGGACGCCTACTCGTCAAGTTTGACGTGAAGTTCCCGGACAGCCTGTCCGCTGAGCAGATACAGGAGCTGAGGGCTACACTCCCGCCCCCGCCAGCGATGGAGACTAACGGCGCCGTCGATGTGGAAGAAGCGACTCTCGAAGACCTGAGAGTCGAACCGGAAAGGGATGAACAGTATGTCAGATGTGATCACAACTCGGATGATGACGAGCAGCAAGTGAGGGGTGGTATGAGTTGTGTACCTCAATAGACTACCGGCGCCCTTCATTACCCCTCATATGACTATTAAAACATGTATAAAAACATTATACTATTTGTTGTAATTTACTAATATGTAGCATATATTAGGTTATAATTAAAAATAATTATTTTATAATGAATTTATCGAAATAATATTTAATAAATTATTGACGTAAACATTGTGTTAATGAGTTTTTTAAAAATTTGTTTTATACAATCAGTATAATCACTTTGAATTTAATACAAACAATTTAATAATCGTTTATTGAAAAGTTTAAATTAAACACAATTATCAACAAAATTAATTAACTAAGAAATATAAGAAAATATAACACGAGATGAAAGTAAATGCAAATTAACAGATAATTTTAAACATATGAATGAAACAATTATTAAAAACTGATTGCTATTAAAATGTGAACAACTTTATACAGTAGTGTTTTGGTTAGAAATCAGTTTATGAACACTTTTTATGCATAACACCATGCTCATTTGCTTTTGGGTCGAGCACTGAATTGATTTCATTGCCGCTCAGAGTATAGCCAATGATTAGCGTCTCGACTAATATGCAGACAATCCATACGAATAGGTATGACATCAGGAAATACTTCCCAAACGACAGACAATGGTCGGTGTCCGGAGGGACAGGCGGTGTGGGAATGGGATGGACAGTGACTCCACTGACAGTAACAATCCCTGAGGTGTTGGAAATGACAAATCCCTGGCCATAGCCAATCGTTCCAGAAAGACTACCTAATCTGTAATGCAGTGATGTGTTATTTCGGTAGTAACACTCTTTAAAGGACTAGAGGTCAGTTTGAGTCAGTCGTGAGCTGTAAATGTTGTAAATGGAAAACAAGGACACTTTATTGGACTCTCATCATATTGAATGAAACTGACCTCTAGTCCTTTAAAGAGTGTTACAATTTAAAGGATACTTCACTGAAATACAGATTAGGTAGTCTTTCTGGAACGATTGGCCATAGCTGACTGTCTATTTTACATCTATTTTTTTCATTTTTACTGACTTTGTAAGCCTTGGATTAAATTAGTTACTACAGTATATAGTAGAGTATGAACTTGGGTTTAGTGTTTATAGCATACCCAGGTCTAAATTCTCAATTCATTGAGAATGTCCAAAAAGTCCGTAGAAATTACATTGAGATTTGCCTGAGCATTAATACTGTATAAAATTCATAATAAAAATTTCAAGTATTTTGCTTAAATCTCTCTTAATATGATAATTGAAGCTTATCTAGGTTATTAGTTTAATAACTGAAATTGTTGCTTACTGAAAACTAGTTTAAATTATATTTAAAAATTATTATTCTTATATATAAAATAGTATAGTTTTGCTATAAATTATAATTATAGAAACAAAATGGTATTCAAGAAAATATTTATAACGTTTTAGATTTATAAATAACTGTATTGCTAGCAATAATAGTACAATTATTACGGGTACAAATTATTAAATATAATACTATTGTAGTGTGAAATGAAAAGTTCATAATAAATATACCAAACTAGCATAGAAACTAAATATTAAATAATTAGGTAATTTATTGCCACAATATTAAGTGCATCCCTTTGTAAAGCTATTAGTTTGTAAGTTTACATTCAATTTATCACTGAATCTCTCGATCGATGCAAACGATTAGCGCATTTAACACAGAATTATGAGTTCCGGTCGTAACGAGTGTTTCGTATTAAATGCGAGCAAAATATTCACACCTTTTAATGCAAATTGATAATCAAGAACATTTAGAAACATTTAATTTTTTATACAATAGTTAATCAAAAAAAATGAAATGAGTTTATAAACACAATGACACTAATTGCCACAAATACAATCATAAAGTTATGCAAATATGTAATCATTAATACAATAGAAACTTATTAACCATTTAAATACCATTTAATAAACAGTAGTGACAAACAATATAACAATATATCAAACACTAAATCAACTCAAATAACATAAATTATGATAGATTAAGAAAACACTGATTTAAATACCCTTTAGATTATATGATAATACAAAAAATATAACAAACAAAATGTTTAGTACACACCTCCCGGTGCTCTCTACCCATACACCCGTATATCTTAACATTTAGTTGAATCATGGTTAAAGAAAATGGTATCATTTGCATTGGTGATCAGTCTCTTGAGAGCATAACACCCTATGGTCACCATAATCGTGACAAATATGATCCAGTTAAATATGGTGATGTCCACCACTGCCTTCATTATAATCAAATTCATACACAGATTCTCATCGGTTTGAGTGAAACCAATGTAATCGCCAATTAGTGCCGTGTTTGTGATCAACAACAGTACTTCCACCACAAATGAACCTGGTTATTGGCACACAAATTAATATTAGTTGTATTTTAATAATATGTAAAAGTGTTTGAATTAGTTATAGAAAGCAATAGTCTATTGCCAATAGAAATACAATTTATATAAAAAATACTATAAAATCAAAACAAATACCGATTTTAATCTGAATGAGGAGTTCGAGCACTGAATTGATTTCATTGCCGCTCAGAGTATAGCCAATGATTAGCGTCTCGACTAATATGCAGACAATCCATACGAATAGGTATGACATCAGGAAATACTTCCCAAACGACAGACAATAGTCGGTGTCCGGAGTGACAGGCGGTGTGGGAAAGGGATGGACAGTGACTCCACTGATATTGACAATCCCTTCGGCTTTGGAAATGATAAGTCCATGGCCATAGCTGACTGTCCAGTTGCCGATTACTTTACTATAGGGCCCATCAGTGGGGTTGTAGTTAACACCACAATCACCGATCACTTTGATATCCTTGGCCGAAAGGGCTGTCCTATTGTCATACATGACAAACCCTGTGGTTAAGTTATACGTTAGGCTCCCGGTGCCCGATGCGATCCGCCTATCGGTCCCATTGCAAGTGATAATCCAATCACTTTTATCAGCTACTAGTGCCGGCCCGGTATGGCTGCCTGTGTTTGCATTGATTGGTGTGGGAGTGGTAGTGGTGTCCATCACCACTTGAACTGGTGATAGGTTTGTGGTAATCATACACACCGTTAGTATGAATACACTGTTTAACGCAAAAAATGTATTAATAATGATAGTAATATGTATTATAATTAAACTAAAATAATTAAAAGTCAATTAATAATGAATTATAAAATGATTACCAAATGAGACGAATGGTTAGGACGGTGACAGTGGGCACCAGTAGGTCCCGGGTCCTGATGCTTAACAGTCGATTCAATGCTCGCATTATAGGCATAATTAGTGAAACAATCAGTTAATTGCAATTTAAGATAAATTAAACTCAAATTATTTGTCGCTTAACTAAACCACTGACTAAACTATGGGACAGTCGTCTGGGAAATGGATGAGCAATGCAATAGTCAGCAGATTTATTACACGACCAATCAAATTGATTTGGGTTTACCCAGGTTATATATGGGCTCAGGTTCATTTTCACGTACAACTATACCCCGGTACAATTCAATCGGAATTTATTGGCTCAAAAAATTAAATATAATTTATATGCAATAAAATTGGAAATGAATACAAGTTTTAAATGTGTTTGCGATTCATATTTTGTACGCAAATTATACAGGGAATAGGATTTAATTATGTTTCAATGACTAGCACTGACCAGGGACACTATACGGGAGGATATGCTTGTATTTAAATATACCTAATAGTAGAGTAATTAATAATTACTAATTTAAGGTGATTCAATGCTGGTCATACCATCAATACTACAGCATTAGTATTAGCCAGGTATCATATAGTGCCTATTTAGTCAGTCATTCATTTGCCAACTAATTTCATTTTCATACATATTATGTCCACAAAATATGGTATAATTTGGACACAAAAAGTTTTCATACAAATGAAAGTTTATCGCAAACTACAATACAGTATCACAAAAAAAATTAATTTCAATTATACTCGGGCTTATAAATAATGCAAATAATAAAAACCCCACTACCATTAGTACACTAATTAATAGTTGTCCCAAATTGGAAACAATTAAAATTAATTCACAAAATTATTTGAGATATTTTAAATTAATTTATACTATTACTGACTTACTAGTTAGTATATTAATATATCGTGATTACTACTTATGAAACATTTTTTAAATAAAAATTTTCGTTTATAATTAAAAGCGTTTTATATATTAATAAATGTCTTATGTTACAGTAAATAACTTTTGAGCTATTATAATAATTTCATGTTTAATGAATTTAATAATATTAATAATTCATTTATTAATCAATGAATATGATACAATTGTGATGAGAATGATGGCAAACGCTATGCAATTAGCAATGGATGCTAAATACCAGTCAAAGTATGGCATACCAGTGCCTAATCTCGAAGATGTTAATGATACGCTTATGACAAACCATATTAACTCCAAGATATGTGCGACTATCAAATGAAAAGTAATTTAGTAATAGATATATATAAGTATATTTTCACTTGTATTGAGTAAACTTCAAAGAATTTTACAGAAAAATAATAATTGCTATAAAAATAAAAATCAATTATTATTTTGTATCATTATATAAATAACTCATTTTTAACACTAATTACTTGAAAACCCATATCTCTATGCAATACTAGTAATCAATTTATACAATACACTAATCAATTATGTAGTCTACAAAAACAAATAAGTACATCACGTAAAGTTACACATGTTTTTGCACTACATTAATACACTAATCACATAATTAAGCTAGTTAGTAGCGCATCATTAAGCAAAACAATTTTCAAAAATATTTATCACTTTTCTATTAGTTTCCCTGAAATATAAGCCTTATTTCAAATTCACACAACACTTACCGACTCTAATCCATAGAAATACTTTGAAAATCAGTAGCACTTTGTCGGTTAAGCCGTACGTCAATACGAATAGCATTAGGGCGTCGGCTGTCAATATGATGGACAGTATGATTGTGTAGATAATGATGTTATACCAAACCGTTTGCACACAATCGTCGCAATTAAAGTCGTGATTATATACTAATAATAACAGCGTTATTAACCTGTATTTACCAATCATTTGCATATCAATAGCGTATAAGTTAGTGATTTTAGTAAGCATTTAATTATAGATTTAATAAATATTTAAATTAGTGCGTTTATTTTAGAAATACCATGGTAATCGCAAATTGATGTGTACCCGGGCCATTTCGCATATAGTGTCCAGGCTATCCATGTTTACATAGGAATTACTCCAATGTTCAATGTTATCATTGCATTCATACGGCTTTGACATTTAATTTACATTAAACTTATTTTAATAATTATTTTTAATTAATATACTTATAATTAAATTTTAGCAATTAGCATTTAATATTACTATAAATTATTGTATAATATAATATTATTATGAAGGAAAGGGATGTCAAAATTTTGTTGCTAAAGCTTATCGAGTTTTAAAATGTATCGCAAATAGTATCATTGTAAATAGTATCCGGTTCATAATAATATACCGCTACTACTGTACAGAATCGCATGCTTGCAATTTATTACACACAATATGTATGAATAATGAGCTCAGTCAAGATCAACAAACATAGTCATCAAGATAAGTTCAAGTAAATATTTTGTATTTAAAAAAATAAAACTCCAGTAAATAGTTTTCAAATGGCTTTTGAATGACACCCCCTTTCACTAATGCATTATTACATAAACATAATTATATTCATATGATCTGAAAGCGAGTGAAAAGTGTCAGAAATTTTCACTTATTTTTAGATACAGTGAATATTTAGGTACAGTGTACTAAACAATAACCTTTATCGCATATTTCATAAAATAAATACTAAAGAATATTTTAATCTGAAAGCGAGTGAAAAGTGTCAGAAATTTTCACTTATTTTTAGATACAGTGAATATTTAGGTACAGTGTACTAAACAATAACCTTTATCGCATATTTCATAAAATAAATACTAAAGAATATTTTTATATTAATAACAATAATTTTAATTGAAAACTTATTACTATCTTTATTATTTACTATGCGAGCGAATTGAAAATTTATTAAATATTATAATCAATGTACTAAAATAATACATAACTAGTAGGTTGCATGCTGTGTTTACTGTAGCTATTTAAATGTGAATTGATTTTTATTATTGTGTGTATTATTATAAGCGAAATAATAGCGACTTTTAGGCAACTATTTTGAAGTCACTGTTAGCGATGCGAAACACCACTTAACGTTTTCCTCACTTTTTTGACTAATGTGATAATATAGAGTTTAGTCTAGAGTATATTCTCAAACAGTTTGTTGAACAGATTACACAACACTTCAAAAAAAGTAGAGAGTACATATATAGTATTGACAAACTCATATAATATAGTTTTAATATAGAAATTTATAATATATCCATTTTATACAATAGTATCCTATTGTATCCACACGGGTCTAAATGTGTAGCAAATATTTGTGCGAGTTGAAATATAAACATAAGTAACGATATAAAGTACACTATATACGCCGATTGTGACCACCATATAATTATACAAAAATAAAATTATATGTTTACAACTAGTGATTAAAAAAAATAGTGTAACCACAAATAGAATTAGGGTCACCATTAAATGGATATAATAATGTGAATCAATTTGCTCCTGATAATCACTTAACACTATGGCAGCATTTGGTAATTAAGTATCCTGAACAGGTATGTATAAAATATCTTTTAAATTTTAAATTTGTTTGCTATATTTGTTTCTAAATTAATAATATCATGGGTTAAATAACTATTTTCTATAAATTTATTTAGTAATTTCTATATTAAGTATTTTCAGTAGTTATAAGTTACAAGTTGTAAATTATTTTTAATTAATCATAAAATAATTATTTACTGAGACATTACAGTTTTGTATTCCAGTATAATGGGTCAAAATGAATTAAATGACTAAATACCATTTTAATAATGATTTAAGAATTATAGATTCAAACTCTGTTTATTTAATGTATAATATTAAAATTTTGCTTGAAAAACTTAAAGTACACTACTGGTCATATTATACTTTATACGTTTTTGATTATAGAAATTACCTAATAGTACCATTGGCACAGTCACGTAATAATAATAATAATAATAATAATAATGTTAGGTCTAGGTGAATGTAAATTAAAAATACAATAACTATCATTATAACTTTATATCACTGTTTAGTATATAAAATATAATATAGTAATCGATAAAAGTTTGAGAGAGAGAGAGAGAGAACTTATTTTGAGAGCAAAAGTATTATTAAATTTAACCCTAATTTTAAGGCTATTCTTATAATTATAAGTATTATATGCTTATTATTACGAGTATTTTGTTTTAACTCATCCATGCATTCAAGCGCGCGACGAAAAATAGTTTTATTTTTTATGTTATTTTGTATCACAAAATACTAGACGAAAACTATTTTGAAAAATACTAACATTTTTAGCGCCCAATGAATTGCAGTAAATGTCGAAATAATTTGCAAAATGCTCTTCAATTATATGAGAAACGATTGGAAAACAAAGTTTTTGTGTATTTTTACACTTTAAATGCATTATACAATCAATAATTATGAGTTATGTTTGAGAAAACTCGTAATTATAAGTCAGGTAATGATGATAAATAGCTATTTATATGTGTATTGACTCATATTTTATGCATTCATTTGCTAATTGTGTACTAAATTTAAATCCTATTAAACAAATACCGAGTGTTTTGTGTGAAATTTTGCGAAACATTTTTCGAGTAAATAATTTCTATTTTAAAATTAATAAAGATATAGCTTTCATATCCCTACCCCCTCCCTCCCTATCCCATAATTATTGTCTTACAATCAAGGATTATATCTAATCTTAAACTGTTTTCAAATGTATTATAAATTATTACCTGTAAAATGTATAGACATTTAATGATACACATTACCACTAAAAAAATTGCTACTTAATTACTTTCTAATATTTAATTGATTTATCGTAGTATCTATTTATTAATACAATTTTCGTACATTTTATAAAATAGCTATTGATATAAACTATTGTATAATCCCTTCACAGATCCACAACATATACAAACGAAATATTCACGACTCGTATAATAATAGCCAAGAATTATATGATTTGCAAAAACTACTCAACGAAAGCCTACTACTGTTTAATAGGGATAACACCGATCTGTATAATCATAACAATGAGAGAAACGCTAAACTACTGAATAGGAACGACTACCAGAGCACCCGCACCACCACTGGTAGCACCGGTGGCAGCGCCGGTAGCCGTAGCACTCCGTGGAAAGTATTGGACAGCCCGTGGATCAGGTCACAGGTCGCACAGAATCCCCATCTCAACAGGAA